GAACATATATTATAACACATATAGCTTTAATAAGAGAACTTAAGAATCCAAAGTTATGGCAAAATATAAAGCCCAAGAAGCAGGTATTAAATTTTAGGGTATAATAATACTATATAAGTTTCAAAAATTAGAAACCATCTAATTACCTATATTACATGCTATAGAAGTTAGAGAAGATCCCACATTTTAGGTCTATCTTTGAACATAATGAAACTCTTTTCATATAAAGAAACCCTAACTAAATTCAAACAAGGAAATTTGTCAATAGAACTCACAAATAATGACAATCATAAAATCAGAATCCCATTGGTACTTCATGGAAAACATATTGTTTTGGCTTTTATCAGAATTCATGTAAATATTATGATTCAGTTTTGCTTGATGAGATTTTGTCAGAAAATTTTACAGTGAATTGAATTGAAATGTAAGATATTCATTTCTATTCATAACTTTGAAATATGTAGTGAAGTAAAGCTTATACTTATCTTTAAGCAAAATGTATATGGTACCATTTTCCATAAAAAGGTTATTATGAGACTTAGAAAAATGGGATTTTTGTGTGTTTGCAACTCTGTGACCTGTTTTTTTTATTTAAATGGAGTTTATTTTTATTATTACCAGAGTATAAAATACATATTACTCACATTGACATATCTTTACATTCTTTAGTGAAGCTAATAGTGAATAAGACTCCCATTAGATAAGGAAAGAAAATTGTGTGAATGTAAAGCAGTGATTCATGAGTAATAAGTTGTCTACTAGAAACATGTTCATATGTTGGAAGATAATTGAAGCATAAAATTTGCAAATTATCTCCAGCCAAACAAATTATGGCATTATTCTTTGTAGAATGAAGCACACAGATTCTGCATATACAAAGGCATCAGACTTTGGCATAGTGTTTCTTAAGATTGTACAGCAATGAACTGATAATTAGACAAGGGATGGACAGTTGTTTGTCAAAAAAAAAAAACAAAACAAGAATAATCAGTCTCTTCCCCTAAGATAACTTTCACCGAACTTGTATAACCTGTTGGATCATCACAGAAATAAATGTAGTTTAGTTTGTTTTGTTATTTTGGTGGAGAAATGAGAAGATATGTAAGCAGGGTATCAGAGAAAAAAAGAAAGGGAAGAAAGAAAGAAGGGAAAAGAAACTATTCCCAAGAGGTCTGGATTTATGTTGGGACAATTACATTTACTAAATTACCTTAGACCAATTAACTAAATTGTCTGTAACTCTTCTTATTAGTTCAGTAAGGGAAACTCTTTGTAATACCTTTCTGCTAGGATCATAGCAATAGAATAAAGCTAAGAAATAGTTTTGCTTCATTTTTAGTTAATCAATGCCATTTTTATTCCTCTACATTGTTCCACCAATACTTCTAAGGTCATGATAGACAAGTGCTTTTGTCATCTATAGTGGCTGAATTTATTGAACAAAGTTATAATCAGAATTATTCTAGAGCCACTCAAATACCTTTTGTCTAGATATAGCCAGAGTTTAAAAATAATACAATTTTATTAAGGACTTTGACCTTAACTATAACAACAAAATTAAACACATCCAAGTAATTATTTCCCATTTAAATATACACTGTGTCCACTAAAACTGCTCAGTCTTTGGATAATGAAAATTTCCAGGTAATGATGCAATGTGTAGTTAAAAATGAATCTTAAACAATGCTATTATCATCTTGTCCAGATTGGCCAATTTGTCTCAACATCAATCTGGAAAGATCTTATTAGAGGATAAAACAATTCAATTCTTTATTGAACACAAGTGCCATGGTTCAGATTTAGTGCTGAATTACCCTGAACACCTGGCCAAAATGACTTGAAAAACGAGTATAGTTAGCAGGGACAATCCCATACCAGTAGAATAAAAAATACCATATGGCCACCTAAATCCTATTTATTGATAGCAACATAGGTCTTCATTTTCACAAACCTCTCCCCAGATTTCCTATCCCCTAACATTCTCCAACTCTATCCTTTCCACACTCCTTCTCATTTTCCTATTTTAATTTTTTCTTCCTTTCCTTCCTTTTTGTATTTGTGGTAATAGGGATTGAATCCAGGGCTTCTGCACATGTTAATCAAATACTCTACCACTTGAGCTATGCCACCAGTCCCCTTCCCTCCTTCTTTCCTCCCTTTCTCCCTTCATTTCCTGCTTTCTTCTGTTTTTACCTTTTCTCCTCCCTCTTTCCTCTTTCATAAAGTCAGAAAGGGTCAGTCACTTTCAGGAAAACTCTAGACGTATCTTCCCATTCAAGTGGGAGATTATGTAAGTAAAAGGATACTGCTAATGATTGCCAAAACAATTTTATTTCAGAGCAATTTTATTTAAACATGTGACAAAACAGGAATAGCATTTCTTAATTAGATCTCTCTGACACTAAACTGTATATTATAATTCATACCTGTTATTAATTCCAAATTCTAAAAAGTAAACTTTGAGCTTCATGTAAGTTTCACTTTTAAAGGCTTAATTTGCATATATTATCAAATCTCCATTCTTCTAAAAGATAATGGTTTATTTTCTATTGAGAAATTTAGCAGTAAAGTTGCTTAATTTCTAAAATTACCATTTTAAAATCTTTTGTAAAGTTGCAATTTTAATTTCCATTTTTGTTTGCTTAATGTAATTCACTTAATAAAATTATTTTTATTTCAAAACTGTAGCAGCCCCTTATTTCAAAGATAAGAATTTAATAAAAAAAAAAAAAACTTATGCTTTGGAAACGACACACGGAACCTCCCTGTATAGCTATCTTTATCTCAAACTAGCAAAAATGCCATGTTTTCTTATTATCTTTTATGTATTTTCTTCTACAAAATCGGAGAACAGGAAGGTGGAACAGGTTCTGCCCAGAGCCTGGGTGTGTGTGGGGGAGTTGGTACAGGGTGGGGGGTGGGGGAGGAGGCAGGGAAAGGAATAGGAGGATGAATATGGTGCAGATAATGTGTACACATGTATATAAATGCAAAAATGATACCTGCTGAAACTTCCAGTAATAGGGGGAGGGGAGATGAATGGGAGCAGTGGAGGAGGTGAATTCAAATATGATATATTTGATACATTGTAAGAATCTTTGTAAATACTCCAATGTACCCACATCCAGCACAACAATAAATAAATAAATAAATAAATAAAAATTTTTTAAAAACTAAAGAAAAATAGAACCTTTTTTTTAACCAAATATGTGATTTTTAAATTCAAATTCCAAAGCTATTAAAAGGTTCATATATTCAAATATTTTATCCTTATATCCTTTTGGCAACTAATATTTGTTTATTACATGCCTAAATTTTAATCTAAATTTTATAAATTCAAAACTAACTTCTTGAGTCATGTCTTATTACATTGTTATACCTATCTTCTGATGTTTTGCAGTTGCAACCATAATACTACTTAATTTAATCCTCACGGTAACCTGTAAAACAGACAGTGATAATAACCACATTTGATAGATAATCTCAGGTTCAGGTAGACTGAATAACTCATTCAAAGTCACACAGCTGTAGTAGTGGAGTCAAAACTTTGAACCCAGATGATCTAACTCCAAAGCCCATGCTTTAAACTATTTAAATAATAGTCTTAAAAGTATTGGTATAATGATATTGTGAAAGAAAGGACCTCTTGCTTCTGTATGTATCAGCACATTGTAATTGCAAAATGCTCAGCATAATGTCTGACACAGAGTACAAATAAAACACATATACATTACTAACTGGAAACTACAGTCACAGTTATTACTGGAAGGCAGTGTATGTACAAAGTAAAAGCACAGGCTTAAGAATCCAATTTACTTGGATTTGAATCCTTGCTCTGCTATGCAATAGAAATGTAACATTTATGAACTTCATATCCTTTTTTTCTGAAAATAATGTGGCTACACTTATTATAAAACAGCTGTAGAAAAATATTCATATATACATTTATATTTTTATATGTACACATATCCATCACTATATGGTCAACGTGACACTCTGGGTACTGCGTATCCAGAAAATGAAACCAAGACCCAGAGAATGACTTGACCACAAAAGAAACTGTCAAATTCAGGTTCTCTGAGTTCAAGCTCAAGATACCTTAAATGCAAGTTATTTTATTCTCATAACATTTTTATTTATGCTGAATTAAAGTTCATTTCAAAAAAGCATTCCCACTCTGCATCACTCCCTGTGTTTTCAAAATAGAATTCCATTAACACCTAGACACCTTCAGCATAATTTACTGTGTTTAGAAATGCTTGAAAGCTTTTAAAAGTGAAATGACTCATTTATAAAGCTTTCAAAATTACCTTTCTTATCAATGGAGAAATATAATACGTATACAGTATATTTATTCTAACTAGATAAGCACCATTTATATCAATATATTCTTAGGTTCCTAGTTGATGTCATAAGTTTACCAAATGGATTCCAATAAGAAATGGAATATTGTATTAAAAACATACTTATTTGAATATGGCATAAATGTTAATATTGAATATTTTTAAGATACTGTATGTTTACTTTTCTTTTTTATTTATAGCTAACTTTCAATTATCTTTATCATTGGAGGAGGAAAATTGGCATGGACAAGTCTGAAGAGTGGATAATAAACAAATCCCAAATTATTGTGTTTGATTCTGCAATACATTACAGCTGCATAGTGCCAAAACAAACATTTTAAATGTAAACAGCTAAATTGAGCTAATTATTTGGTATTAAATAGATTTTTTAAATACCAGTTGTTTGTGAATTTAAGTAAGCCAACTATCCTTGTAAGGTTTATGCATTTTCCCTTTTTAATTTATGGCCCCTTTAGATAATTGCATTAAATCCTGTCCTTGATTATACTTAGAATGAAGAGAGTAGACGGAGTACTGTGCTTGCTGATAGAGGAAAAGCTGTCTGGAGCCTGGAGGGAAATGGTCTAGGTAAGTGAAATGACCAGTGGAAAATCTATGCTTTTACAATAAACCAGTTTTTATCTTATTTACCCATACCTTCTGCTTGATGATCATCTCGTTAATGTCTTCAAGATCCCCCACCATCACTCTCTGTGATTTTATAACTTGATCAAGCAGAGAGAGCCAGTCAGTAAGTTCTGTCCAAGCTCGGTTGAAATCTGCCAGAGCAGGTACCTCCAACAGCAAGGAAGATGGCATTTCTACTTTGGAGATGGCAGTTTCCTTGGTAACCACAGGTTGTATCCCTAGAGTAACAGTCTGACTAGGAGCTAAAATTTTTTTGAACAAAAGGAGAAAAGGAAAAACAGAAAATTAGAAACACAAGCTAAAGAGCCAATTTCAATAACAATAAATCAACTTTAATTGAAGGGCAACAATTGAGCCAGACTAGTATTTATGACACTACACTTGTTTCTACCAATAGGAATACTTTACATAGCAATTCATCACAAAAATTCAAAGATAAATTTTCTTTAATATACATTTAACAATCCTTCAAAATGATTTAGCTTATTCTCATGCCTGGACAAATAGTTAAATACAAATTACTCTTCTCAGTAACAGTTACATAGATTGTGAAATTAGCAAACAAAATTATTTAGATATTTCCAGGTGAATAATATTTACTTATTATTTTTCATTCAAGAAAAAAAGGCAAAACTGAAGAATGAATAAGATCTTATTTCTGATTTCCTTGAATAAGCAGCAAATTTCTTTTGAGAAGGATCCTAGGGAAATCAAAGCCAATGAAATATTCTTGTCTTAGTTCTGTACTTTATACAGGAAGTAGTTTATTAATTTTTTCTTTTCTTTTAAATTGGTAATAAAGTGGCTAGCAGTGAAAAAAAGACCAAAGTATACTATTTTTGGAAAATGACAGCTAGTAAAGCTTTTCATGTTGGCTTTGAAACACTGTTTCAAGGTCAGCAAGAAATCTTACATTAAATTAATTGCATAGAACACTGTTATGGTTAAGGTTTGAAGTCTTAGGGTGAAAACACCTGGTAGAGAATCCTTCTCTCTGTTTTAGGAACTCTGGAACCTTGGTTAAGTTATTTAACTTCTCTATATTTCAGTTTTTCTTCTCAGTAAAGGAGAAATAGTAAAATAGGGTAAATATTATAGGCACTGTTGTATGGATTTAATGATAACACAAGCAACATACATACAACAATGTCAGACACAGAACAGAATCATGGTCATCATCACCATCACAATATTAGTGCAGTGCCTGACATTAGTAGTTAATCAATGATGTTGCCTATTACTATTTCACAAACACCTGGTTAATAAAAAAATACTATGAACAAATATGGTGAGAACTTAGAGACAAAGGCTGGAAATGTGGAAAATTGGGGAAAACTTTGTCAAAGGTCTGTTCATCATCCTTTATGAACTTGAAGGGGGCTGAACTTGCTGGTGTGAAGTGATATGAAGTAACAATACACAGCTGAGTTATTAGAGGTGCATGGTGAAAAGAATAAATGTCTCCTGCTCCAGGAAGATAACACAACCAGGAAACCATCAGCAAAGAATTATAGTATGTGGCTCATAAGGGAAGGCTTAAGAGAAAAGACATCTCAGTGGGGCATTTTGGAGGCATGGACAAGGCAACTATTCTAGGAACATGAAAGAAAATGAGTTACACTGGATTTTCATTCTGATGTAGCCATTCATGAACTACCATGATGGTTATGTTACTGTGTTTACGTTTATGGTTGTCTCCTTGTTAGAGAAGAAAATAAGAAGGATGGAGGAAAGTTTTTTGTCTTTCGTTGTCTTTTAAACTTCTCAGGGACGCCAAGAGTCTCCTACAGTTGAAAGAATCTTGAATATAGTGTTAAAAAAAGGTGTTGAGATGTTAGATAGAATAAAAACTTAACCATTGTGTACACAACAATGGGATTAGACTATGAGCACATGATAAAAGCGAGAGCACACAAGGGAGGGGTGAGGATAGGTAAGACACCTAAAAAATTAGCTAGCATTTGTTGCCCTTAACGCAGAGAAAACTAAAGCAGATAGCTTAAATGCAACTGAGGCCAATAGGAAAAGGGGAACAGGTACTAGAGAAAAGGTTAGATCAAAAAGAATTAACCTAGAAGGTAACACCCATGCACAGGAAATCAATGTGAGTCAATGCCCTGTATAGCTATCCTTATCTCAACCAGCAAAAACCCTTGTCCCTTCCTGTTATCGCTTATACTCTCTCTACAACAAAATTAGAAATAAGGGCAAAATAGTTTCTGCTGGGTATTGAGGGGGTAGGGGGCAGAGGGAGGGGGTGGAGTGGGTGGTAAGGGAGGGGGTGGGGGCAGGGGGGAGAAATGAACCAAGCCCTTGTATGCACATATGAATAATAAAAGAAAAAGAAAAAAAAAACTTACTGCCAAAAAGTAATGACTGAAAAGAAATAATCCTGTGGAAATAAAGAAGATTGTTTCTTGAACCTATCTCACTACTCTGAGGCACTTTTTAAAAAGAAGGAAATATAATCTGAAGCAGAAATATCTTTTTTTGGTGGTGGTAAATAGGCTTTAAACTTAGGACCTCACATTTGTGAGGCAAGCACACTATCTCTTGAGCTGCTCTGCTAGCCCTGAAAAAGTAATAGAGGGGTTAATTTGATCAAAGTACATTGTACGCATGTAGGGAATAATAACACTGAAAAAAAAAATCTTGTGATCTACAGTCCAGGACTGTGCTTGAGAGCAAATAAAATCTAGAGACCTTAAAAGGGATTCCCTGGGACAAGCTGAATGTCTGGAGAAGATGCATGGGTAAAGTTGAAAAGAGAATGAAATTAAAATATCACTATGAGAGCTTACTGCAGAACATCAGGCTGACTAGAAAACATGGACAAATTGTTCCTAAAATAGAAACACAGTGGATACAGGGAACATACAGAGGATTGGAAGGATTTTCAAGGTCATGCAAAGTGTCGGGCGGTGCTTTCTTTTTTTTTTATTTTTAAATTGATTTTTGGAAAATTTGACCTTTAAATGAGACATGGGAAATTTTTCTTCTCTATACTTACATCTGACCAACAAAGATGTACTTAATGAATAGGAAATGATTGTGTCTATTAAATTGCCATATAATGAAGGAGGAGAATGCAGAGAATTATCAGTCTTCAATGAGCAGACCACTGTTTCCTGGAAGGAACATTGTGGGGAAAGTAAAGGTCTATTGGAAAGACAGGCCAGGGATTGAGTCTCAAAAAGGGAGAATTCAAGGGTTTGAGGACAATTACAAAATATAAAAGGGAACATTGGGATAACAGTATTAGAAAATTTTCCAATGAGGAGAAAGGAACAAATATCCTTTTAAAAAAATCATCTGTGGCAGATTGGAGGTTGAACAATGCAGTCACATCGGCACTGGTCATGTTAGGTGATCTTGTCTAGATGAGTCAGGCCATTTATTTCTGGTCTCCTCTCTTTCAGCACTCAGTATCTGAGACTACCTTTACATTGGTGGGAAAGGAAGGAAAACTATGTCTTTATTTCTCATGTTCTAGTCTTGCTCCTCACGCAGGTCCTATAATATAGTAGGTATTTTTTGATGTTCTCTGAATCACTAATGAGATTGTTTTAAAAGCCTATGTACAATAGGCTTTTTGGTAATCTTAGAATCTTCTACCCATGAGTTCTCAAAGTTACCAAAAACCTGTACGAGTGGTTTCTTAAGAGCTAGAGCACAGAACATTTGTAAGGTTTTTCTATTTTGGTCATTTTAGTTATTTTCAAAAGAAAATAATATAGGAAGACCAAGTGCTTGGGGAAGGCAATATAGTGTCAAATATTAAAAAGGAAAATAAAACCAGTCAATTCATTTGTGTCTGGTTCTGCTCCCTCAGTTTACCATCAAAGAGAACAAAGCAGGAAACAACCACAGATCAGGAAACACAGTGTCAAATAGACTTTAAAGTCCAGATTGTTGAATTAAAACACTCACTCTGCCAGTTCTTAGCTATGTAACTTTAGGCAGGCTATACTTTAATTTTGAACTTTAAAATTTCCTTTGTGATTATAATAGTACCGTCTTCATAGACAGTTGGCTTTACCATTTATTAGATATTCAAGCTTGGATAAGTAATCTACCCTGAAGTAGGGTACTTTTAGCATGCTTGCTAGCGTGTACATCCCAGAGTCTTAGAGTTTTTAACCTGTGTAACAGCAAGAACATTATTGATCTTACAGAATTGTCCTATGGATTAGATGAAATGATCCTTGTAACTCACATTTCAGGATTATGCTGACAGTTAGTAGGTACACACTGTGGAGAGATTTTTTTCCCTCCATTTTCCTTTGCTTCTCACTTAGTGTTTATTGGCTCCTCATATTCTATACTCAGCATGGCATTCTAGATACTGTACTCTGAACCAGACCTGACACTACAATCTCATCTCCCTCCATTCTCACCATGCCCCCCCAATGCATCGGTCTCTGGTCTGCATTCTCCAAGTAGAACTGACCATTTCATGCTCTTATGTCCTGTTATATACTCTCTGCTCTAAGCACTGTTGGAGGAAATGTTTCTTCATTAATGTTGTCCTCACAGAAAATAATCTTTCTGGTGTCATACCAACAACTGTCTCTTCCTCCAGAAATGAACATTTACATCTTTCCTGATCAATCACTTCATGCCAGAACCATATTATTACAATGTACACAATTAAGACACACACATGATAAATATCAGCATATATTTACATATATATATATGTATATATGTGTATATATACATATGTGTATATACACACATATTATATATATACAGAGAGAGAGAATGCACTTGAATAGCTATTAGTAATGATTGTAGCATACTCATTTATTTTTTAGAAAATTAAAATGACTCACCAAAAAATTGTGAGTTTCTTTCCATTGTTAAGCAGACAGAAAGACAAGCTCAAAACAGCTGAAATGAATTGACTTTGGCACACTGGAATAGTCACATGAATAACAGTAGGTGTAATATACTATTGCAAGCCACAGCTTAGCTCTGAGTATTTCGTTAATTAAAAGGTGTTGGCTTTAGGAAGGAACTTTTGTTTTTTCAAAAGTCTTTGAAGAATATTTCTCTGTTCTAAAATTTTAATTGGTTTAGGGGTATATGATTAGTCAGACTAACAGCTTTACTTAGAGCTTTAAAGGAGCTACTAAATCTTTCAACACACACACACAATGTGTTTGGCATATTCCCTTTGAAGTGTTCACATGTGATTTTTCTGTAATTCATAGGTCTCTTTTGGTTGATAAAAATGCAA